TTATTTTGAGTTCTTTTTCAGGAAGATTGGTGATTTCAGTCTAACCAAGTCCTCTCTCTGGTGTTTGAGGGATTTTGGACTGAACAGGGTTCTTCTGCCTTTTCATGGCGATGGGAGTGGTCGCCGGCAGGTGGCCCGTGTGTTAGCTGGGAGAACAAAATTCCTTCCTGCTTGCTGGTCGCCTTGCCTTGTCTCTGCTGTCTGTGCTGGTTAATCGCACACAGGGAGCAGCCTCTGGGTTCATCCCCTAAGGTGCTGTGGGCATGGTGGCCTTCAAGATGGCCTAGGGCAATCGTGGTGGTCACAGGCCAGCTGCGCATGTTCTGCTGCAAGAGCAAAGCCCTTCGTGCTTCTGGACTCTGCTCCTGTCTCTGTTGTCTGTGCCAGTCAACCACACACAGGGAGCAGCCTTTGGATTAATCCCCTGAGCTGCTGTGGGCGGGGCGGTCCTCAGGATGGCCTAGGGCACTGGTAGGGGTCACAGGCAAGAGGCACATGTTCTATCACAAGAATAAAGCCCCTTTGTGTCTCCTGGACTCTGCAGCCAGCCCCCGGCTGTTCCGTAGCAATGGCGAGTCAGCCGGTTTGCTTGCAGTGCCAGCGGGGGGCAGGAATGGCAGGCTGCTTGTGCCATGAGGCAGTTTGGAGCTGCTCTGCCATCCAGGGAGGGGATTAGCGTGCCTGAAGTTCCTTAAAGTTCCCAGCCTGCTGGGCTGAGTGTGCCAGGAGTATTTTGTCCACCTATTAAACCCTTGTCCCTTTAAGACTTTTAAAGCACCTACTTTTTTTTTGTCCCAGGGCAGCCAGCTGTGAGAACCTGTTCGCAATCCTAATCTTGGATTTTGCTTTTCTGCTTCTCTAATATCCAGGTCACCATGTAATGTGTGTCTGTGCTCCCAGGGCAGATTACTAGGGCTGGTTATTTAGCAGTCCCGTGCTTCCACTCCCTCCCCACTCTTATTCTTTTCCTCCCACCAGTGAGCTGTGGTGCAGGGAGTGCTTGGGTCCCGCTGGGTCATGGCTTTGTATCTTACCCTTTTCTGTGAGATGTTGGGTTCTCGCAGATGTAGCCTGGCTCATATACTGTATCTGCTGGTCACTCTTTTAGGAATAGTTGTATTTGCTGTATTTTCAAAATATATGTGGTTTTGGGAGGAGATTTCCACCACCCTACTCCTGCCGCCATCTTGAGAATCCACCCATCCAGTCATTTTCTATCCATTGCAAATATAATTGATAAGATTCTTATAAACGCATCAGTCCAAAGAACACCTAAGAAGTCATTTATATACGTACTTAACATACATTATTTGAAAACACAATAATGCTGATTAATCACTTAACAAACCCTTTCTTCATTCCTGCTTCCCTGCTTTTCCTTAATTGAGATATTCTGAATCTTCTCAAAGTTAGAATTTTGCAGACATTTGAGCATTTAATCAAGGCCTAAATACATATGTATTTGTGAAATTTAGAACATACTCAGGTAACAATTCTTTTCAATACACACAAAAAAAGACCAATTGTCATAGTTCTTATTAAATGATTAAAATTTACCTTATTGTTGCCCTGAATTATCTTTCTTTTCTTTCAGTGATATAGCAATGGGAAAAAAAGTTTATTTACAAATCAAGACCGCTCTACTCAGAGTACCATTTCCTCTGGGAAAGCAAAGAATTAAGACCTTTACATTTTAAATCAGCTGAGTATCCTAAGCTGAATAATGTCTTCAATAAAGTAAAAAGAAAGATCCATCCTATGTACATATATCCAGATGCTAACTTTTTTCTTTAATTTTATCTTCACATAGCCCTCCTTGCAGCCTGCCCTTTGTGAAGGATCTATGGGTAGAGGTATTACAAGTTCTGAGGTTTTTGGCCTCATGCAGTTACATCAAGCCTCAGGGACACTGTGTCCTATGGCTTTCTTCCTTCTCGCCCTTATGCCTTCTATACTGAAATTATTGCAAACAGCTTTCCGAAATGGTCTGATACATCCTAGGTGTGAATATCAAGATCATAAGATAGGAATGATCTTTTATCTGGGAATAAATCTTCCATGAAAAAAAATCTATGCCTCTTTCCAATCTTATTATATGACTTTTTTCTCATCATTTTAGACCTTAGATTTAGGCAGTATTTTTACCTTTGAAAGAGCTAAATAGGGTGAAGATGACAATCAATTCTATCCAGTGTATTTCAGAGACTATACTAAATACATCTAATATTTATATATTGGAATTGATCTATCAGTATGATACTTTATAAAATTCCCCTTTTTTTAAGGCTAAGATGTATTTGGAAAAGTAAATGGACAGTAGTGTTATGGGAAATCTGAAAAAAAAGTCAGTAAGGGAGAATGAGGTATCAGAACAAATCGTGAGCAATAGTAATAAAAATTGTGTGACATCAGCTTAAAAAGAGACTAAACACAGTGACTCAATATGACTAGCCCTAGTTTTTAGTTTCTGCTTTCTTTCCCTGACAAGCCCTTTTCCCCAGCTCTTTTCATATCCCAGATGCAGGGAGTTCAGCTCCTTCCTCACTGCTGACACACTACACCTAGGTCTGGGCAGCTGCCTCTCAGGTTTTATTTTCTCCCTTCTTTCCTGACCCCCTCTCCCATTTCCTTTCCTCCAAATGTACTAACTCAAATGTGCTTGATTTGTGTCTTTGAATAGGAAGGTAAAGGTGTTTTTTTTGTGTGTGTCTTTTAACCTATAGAAAAGGTATTTTTGCTATAGATCCTATTCTATTCCTTAAAATTTTAAACTCAACACTCTGTTTTAAAGAAATATCTCTGTTTGCACATCTATATGTACATTTAATTCACTGCTTCTTACATAATATTTCAGAGTCTCTTCCACCATAATTTTACTTATCCATCTCCTAGTGACAGATTCCCCACTTTCATAAACAATGCTGCAGTGAACATCCTTTTACATCTACCCGTACAAATTTGTGTGAGCATTTATCTGGATGATATATCCGTGAGTGGGACTGCTGGGTCAAAGGGCATACATATACTGAATATCATTTACTTCTGACTTATTGCTCAGAATGACTGTACTATTTGCACTTCCACCAGCACTGCTTGAGGGTTCTTATCTCTCCACATCTTCACCAACACATGGTATTAGTTGCCTCTCTAAAATATGTCACCTTTGAAGAGTAAAAAATGATATCTCATTATTGTTTCAATTTGGGTTCTTCTGATTTCTAGTAATTTTTGAACATTTCTTCATATGCTTGTTGGCCATTTGGGCTTCCCATCTGTGAATTGCCTATTCCTATCTTTTGCACTTCTTCCTATTTTGCACTTGAGTTTTCTTTTCTATGTCTTTTTAATTTTGTCTCTGGTGTACTTGTTTGAGAATAACAAGCTCTAGTGGGTTTTGAACAGGAATCCTTTATTCTGATAGGGTCAAATTCATTATAATTTCATTTTATGGTTAGATATTCTGGAGGTAATCTTGAAGAAATCTTTCCCCACCCTTACTTCACAAAGATATTGCTGTATATATTTTATAGATTTAGCTTTAAAGAGTATTAATTTATTTGGCATCTATCTTTATATGTGAAATTTAGATGGGTTTTTATCATGATCCCTAACAAGGAGTAAATTGACTTCTCATAGTTTTAGCTTTCTCTTTTGTACCTTTTCCAGCTGGTAGCAGAGTTGCTAATAAGAATTGAAATAGTCAAGGGCAAGTATCAATGGGAAAAAAAAGTGGAGGATCAAACTTCGGTAATTTCGAACACCCTACTGTCATTACATTTCATATATCAAGCAGCAATGTTTGCCATGCTCTTCATCTGTATTATTTTTACCATCACAAAAAGCCTTTGGGGAAACTATTACCTCTATTGAAGAACCAGTGAGCAAACCAAGGCATAGAAAGATGTCATGTCCAGAGTAAGCTCTTTCTAAACTCACTCTTTCAACCACAGAGCAAACCACTTAAATGTCTTCACTGAGTTTTATTTTATTATTATATCTTCAGAATTTATCAAAGGTTAATGAAGGAAGAAGAAGAAACATTCCTGTCTCTTCTGCAAAGCCATTAGATTGCAAAATGTCATTATTATTATTATTATTATTATTGTTATTATTTTAACATCTGCCTTGTGTCAGGGACTGCTAAACGCTGGGCTTAGAGCAATCAATAGGAAATGGTTCCTGCCCTCAAAGAGCTTTCTTAGCAGGACAATGGGAGGTGTAGTCTCTTTGTGGTGACTATGAGGGGCTCTGCAGAAAAACTTCTAGAGTTCAGATCAAAGCTCCATCTATAGTATCCCTGTGACCTTGAGCAATTTGCTTTCTAAGGTTCAGTTTCCTCATTTATAAAATAAAAATAATAGTAATAGATCTAGTAGAAGGTTGTTGTGAGGATCCAATCTAACAATGCATTTAAAGAGCTTAGCAGAGTGCGTGGTATTCTACCAGCAGAATAATAAATATTATCATTTATATGAAATAAACCAATGATTCAAATAGAAAAATGCTCTTGATACAAGAGCCTTAAAAAGAGCTCTGTTACTGTGCACAGAGAAAAGGTGTCTAAGTTAGACCAAAAGGAGAAGGTAGAAAGAATTTCAGGGCATGCTTCCCAGTGGAGGTAATCTTCACATATTCTTGACTAAGGAATTACATGTAAGTTATTTTTAGGTTTCAGTTCTGAGAACAATTTTCTCTATTTGAACAAAACAACATGCTCCCTTTTACTGGTGAACACGGTTTATATAACCTATTTATTTCCTATCTTATAATGACCAGAAAGCTTACAGTCAAATTAAGTGCTTTATTTAAACAGATTATATACACCTATGGTTTGATAAATATCCTTGATTATTTTTAACTTCCTTTTTACATTTTAATTTTGTTATTATAAAACAGTCTTTTAAAAAATTCTTTGCAAGCAGGTATATTATAAATAAACTATAAATAGTCTTCCCCCAAGAATTCTGTGTAAATTTAATAATTTTTATTTTTAATTTCAGGTATTGTTAGCAGACGCAAGGAGTTCCCATACAGGGTACCATTGGATTTGGTCCCCAAAACAAAAGTCAAAAGGATTGTGAGTGTAAAAGGTAAACTAATAAATGCCATTTTTATTTCTTTTTTCACTTTATGCTTCAGAGAAAAATCCAATACCTAGTGATTATTCTGTTTCTCCTCTACTCAGTAGCATATACGAATCTACCTCTGGGAGTAACTTTGTCCTATTCCCACCTTCAAATCCCACTACTTCTCCAACTATCTTCTCTCACTGGCTGGATTTAAATAAAGATTCATTCTCCCATGATGGAGGGTGGGGGCTGTCACTGGCCCAAAAACTTCTCTAAAGTGGGGGTGCAGTGCTTCTAGATTCAACTTTCCATGATCTTAGGGACCAGTCATATTCCAGAGAAGGCTTTAGGTCCTGCAGGTGGTCCCAGGAGCCACACTGCTCTGTTGAAAGACTAGTCTCAGAGGGGTGCTCTCCCTTCTAGTACATTTGCAGAAGTGGCGTCTTTGGTAGGTTTCTCCTTGTTTTATAGGTCAATAACATCATTAAAATAACAGAATGTCCTGACTACATTTTATCTCAGATAAAACCTTGAAATCACAGAATGTTAGTACTAGAATCTTGTTAATCATGTGCAATCCTGTTGCTGGAAATATAAAAAAGTGGTTTGTTCAGGATCAAACAGGAACTTATGGGTGCTCCAGAGTATTCACAGTTCAGACTCTTTGCTTCGCTTGGTGGAAGCTATTGATTAGGGTTTACAATGTGTAAAGATGTCAGACTGAATGACAACTAATTTGCCATGTCCTCTATTCAGTGACCTGCCCACTATCATACCATCTTGCCATTATATACTAACAGTATTTCTTTTAAATGCATCTCTCACCAGATCTTTTTTTCCTTCCCAGTTGAGAAGTAATTCAACTGCCTAAATAAAAGGAAATAATAGGGATGATTGCTCTCTTATCTATTTAAAATATGCTATTACTTAGAAGTTGATAAAAATTGATTGTGTCTACTTTGATGATTGCTCTCTTATCTATTTAAAATATGCTATTACTTAGAAGTTGATAAAAATTGATTGTGTCTACTTTGATTATTGTGTTTGTTACAGGACTGCTTTTAGGTGAGGTCATGTCTGCAGTTCTGAGTCAGGAAGGCATCGATATCCTTACCCACCTCCCTAAGGGGAATGCAGAAGCGGAACTGATGAGCATTGTCCCAATATTCTATGTTTTTCACTACCTGGAAGCAGGAAATAATTGGAACATTTTTTCTCCAAACTCATTAACTAAACAACAGAACCTAAAGAAAAAATTGAAAGAAGGTAAAAAAAAAATCTATTTCACATATTATACATAAAAATCTTGTTATGAATTATACAAAAGTTTAATGGCAGAAAATCATGAGGTAGGCTCTACTACATAAGGAATAAATAAATACTATTTGCTGTAATATTTTGGCTTAACTTACCAAAATGCCTGGATAAGAGACAAGACAGCTGCATTCCAAACTCTACAGACCACTTCCTTCCTTCTTCAAAGAGCTCAGAATTCCTATTTGGTAATTCCCAGTTCAAGCAATTCATATACTTCCCTTGAGAAGTCCAATGTTGGCCACAGAGCACATGCTTGCTGCCCAACACCAAAGAAATTTACCATTCCCAGGGGCTAATAGAGCACTCTGAGAAGAAATGGAAGTGAAGCACTGTGTTCTTTTTCTGGTGCCTCTTAGGGTTGGTGAGCATCATGTCCTACAGAAATACTGACTATTCATACAGCATGTGGAAGGGTGGAAGTGCTAGCACCTGGTAAGTAGAAATAAATACCTTGTGTTTTCATATAGTAGTTGATTAATTAACTAAAGAATAACCTTAATGGAAATCATTTGTCCAGTTGCTCCAGCTAAAAGCCTAGTTAACCTTCACTGCCCTCTTTCACTTACAAGCCACATTTGACCCAGCAAATATTTTTGTCTGCACCTTCAAAATATATCTGGAACTTGACTACTTCTTACCAACCCTACCACACCATCCTGATCCAAGCCACTCTCATCTCTCACCTGGATTACTGCACTATCTTCCTCTGGCCTTTTGGCTTCAGCCCTGGCCCCTCTTCAGTCTATACTCAGCACAGAAACCAGAGTGACTCTGTTAAACATAAGTTAGGTCACACCATTCAAAACCATTCAGGAGCAACCCCCATCTTACCCAGGATAAAAACCAAACTTCTTACTGTGATCTATAAGCCCCACCTCACTTCTCCAACTGCATCACTTACCACTCTCTCTCATTCCACTGGGGCTCCACCGGCCTCCTTGCTGTTCCTTGAGCATGCTAGGCATGCTTCCACTTCAGGGCCTTTCTACTGACTGTTTCCCTTGTCTGGAATGTTTCTCGCCAGGTATCAGCATGGCTGACTATTTTACTTCCCTCAGGTCTTTACCAAAAGGCCTCTGCTAACCTTTCTATCTAAAATTGCATCCCATTCACATCCCAACACCTCATATCCTTCTCCCCAACTTTCCTTTCCTTCTTAGAATTTATCACTAACATGTTTTCTTATCTCACTTATTGTCTATCTTGCCCATGAAGTATAAGCTCCAGGTGGGTGGTTCCAGGTATTCCTGGTACCTAGAACATACTTAAGTACTTTTCTAATGAAGTTTCCATAATTCATAATACTTCCATAATTCTAATGACAGTCTGATTTAATTAAAAGTCCATATGACAATCTATTTTCAAAAAAAACTATTATGCTTTGACAAAATAATTAATAAAAACATAGTGTGCCAGGTGCTCTTTTGGGGGGCTACTATATGAAATGTTTTTAAGGAGTTTTCAATCTATAATAATTGACTTTTAGAATATGCCACTTAACTGTTGAGAATCCAGGAATTCATCCTTGACCCCCTTGTTTTCTGTCATTTCTCCCTGTGCAATGTCATCTTTGCCTATGACTACCATAACTTCTATGCAGATGATGCCCTAATTAATGTCTCAAGGCCTAAATTCTTTTCTAAGCTCCAGATCCACATTGCAGGGCCTGGGAGCCAAAGGCCCTTCAAACATAATCAATGCCAAATTCATTCTTGTTTCTCTTCTTCCTTAATCAGTGCACAGTAATACTCTATACTTGGTCTTCAGTGACCAAATTTGACTCTTCCCTTTCCTTTTGGCTCTGTCAGTCACCAAGCCCTACAGATTATACCTCAGGAATGGGTCTAACCATGAGTGAGTGGCACATTTTAAAAGACACACAGGCCCCTGGATTATACCAATCAGAGTAGAGGATACCATCAGGATCCAGGGGGTGGGGGATGATGCAGACTGGAAACCACCACAACAGGAGCTAGGCTCTAAATACCTGGGGCACAGAAATCTCCCCAAGAAGATGCAATAGCCTCTCATAAACCCCCAGGGCTTCTCAAGAGTTCTGGGCAACACTGAGTGGAGAGTGTTCAGCCAGAAACAGAAATTCTTAGGTACTGTCCTAAACCCAACTCCAGAAGTTCCTTGAGAGAAGCATATTCATCGAAGAAAATGGTTGGTACCCAGGTACTTTCTTTAAAGTTTTTTTGAGAAATACAGGGAAGATACAAAAAAGCTCAAAGAATAATATAACATTCATTTTGAAAAGGAAAATGAAAACAAATTTTTAAGTGAGAAGGAAAGTCAAGTGCTGTGAGTCTCAGAAGCAAGCACCTGAGGTGCTGGCTAGTAGGTGACTCTCGGGCAAATGACTAAGGACAGGAAAGGGGAGCAGGGGGTGGAGGTGTAAGGCCTGATGGGGGTTTTGGAGTAGACCCTCTCCGATATTCCTTGGGAGATAGGAGTAAAGACTGAAATTGCTTTTTGACTCAATAATTATGAAAAACTGCCTCATGAGGTGGTGAATTCTGCATCAGTGGTATGGCTCATCGAGGGAGGACAAGCACTCCGGTAGATGATAGGGGAGGAAATTCAGGCCCCAGACAGGGATGTAGGTTAGAACGCATGTACACATTTTACAGTCTAGAATTTTATGATTTTAGTCTTCCATGTCTCATGTTCATGGGTCAGCACCTTGACTTGAAAGTGTTTGTTTCACTGCTATTGTCTTTCAGTTTGGACAGTAATTTTTTTTCCAGGTCTCAGACATCAACTTTTAGTTTGTGTGCTGGCTAACAATGTTGCAATCACAAAAGATGTGTCGTTCACATTTGTGAACTGAATGTTTTAGGGGATCTTCCTAAAATCCTCTCTTCCATTATAAAATCGTGATGACTTACTTTAGATTGTATCATTTAAAATGTTATTTTCTCTTTAAGAATAAAGGTACTGTGAATTAAAACACACTGTAAATTGAGAGCCAAAGGAGATTCAACATCTAAATGTTTATTTATTTGATTTTGTCTTAAAGGTTAACAGCGTTTGCTTTAAGAGTACTTGGACAAGTAAATAAATACATAAATCAGGACCAAAATTCAATTTGTAATTCTTTATTGTGGCTGGTTGAGAACTGTCAACTAGAAAATGGATCTTTTAAGGAAAATTCCCAGTACAAACCGGTAAAATTACAGGTAAGGAAAACAAATATACAGGTTAGCAATAATTTTATTTGTAAGTTTGAGTTTTGTTCTCATCCTATTTTAAGAGGATGAAGAGGAGAGGGGAAAAAAAAAAGACATGTGCAATCCTTTGAGAAACTCCCCTTGTGTGCAGGTAAAGCATATGCAAGGTCTCCTACTGCTCTTTGGATAATTCACAAGAGGTCAGATAAGTGATATCCTTGATATATCATATAACAGGCATTACTGGTTCGCAGGCTGTAAGGGCTAGAGATCTCAGAATGGGTGAAATGTACTAATCTGTCCATGTACAGAATCTGTACATAAAGTTGAGAGCCTCCTTACAAGTCAAGGCTTCAACGTTGTCATGAAAGATAGAACCCGATTATACCCTGTTAGTAAGAGAGATTGGGGTCAGTTTATCAAACTGCAGCAAAGTGTTGAGATTAGAATCCACTTATAAACTTGAATTACAGAGTAATTACAATCTCTCTCCAAGATACCACTACACTATCTTCTACTTCTTAGAATGTTACTTTAAGATTCAAGAAGTTTTCTCTGAGTTTTTTTGTTTTTGTTTTTGCTTGTCCCAATCCAGTCCCTTTCTTATCAGGCTTGAGTGGCTCCATTGCATCGATAGCAGATTAGGACTCCCACAATAAATCAGGGCAATTGACTTCATCTAGATGCTATTTGAAGAGTAAAATACTACAACAGTTTTTTTTCTTAAGATACCAACCTATCCATCCATCCATCCACATTCATTCAACAACCATTCTCTGAGCACCTAATGCATGTAAGAACCTATTTTGGGCAAAATGGGGGAGGAAGTGTGGGAAGGAGGAACCAGAGAGTGTCCCTGCCACAAAAGAGCTCACATGCTGGTAGGTAAAGTGGGGTATACATACTAGCCACTCTAACCCAGATATAACTCTGTGTGTGCAGTTATTTACTCAATAAAAATTTGTTGAATGTGTACTAAATGCTACATGGTAGGGACACAGCAGTGAACAAAACAAGTGTGGTCTCTGAGGCCATAGAGCTTATGACCTGGCAGAGAAGTCAGACATTTGAGTAAGTAATTCCAAGTATATGATACATGTTTAAAAAGGGAGATAAAGTTTCATTGAAATCAGGAGATCTAACCTGGGTTGGGGGAGTTGAAAAAATGAGTTGATCAGGCTCCTGGGAGTTAGGAGGGAATCAGGAAGAGTGTTTCAAGTGGAGCAAACAGCACGCCTGGCATTTTGAAGTGAAGAGATAAGGTTGTTCATTAAAAAAACTAGAATCAAGAGAACTAGGGGGTGAGTGGTATGAAGCTGGAGAGGTAAGTAGAGGGCACTTCATGGAAGATCTTACAAAAGCATTGCATTGGAATGTCACTGCCTTAAGAGGAAAAATATGGGAGAACAGAAGCTGTAAAATACTTCATAGAGGAGGTGGCATTTCAACAGGGTCTTGAAAGAGGGAAAGAATTTGAATGTGGTGAAGAGGTATAAAGTAGAACTCCAGGGTGGGAGGTGAGGGGAAGAAGGACTCATGAAGGCACAAAAGTAAGATCCAGAGCTTATTGAGAAATGGCAAGCAGTCCAACTGGAATGCATGAGGGGAAGAGGGAGAAGGGGCTCAAAACAGAGATTAGAACCAGGTCATTTCACTTTAAAGATAGCATTTCACTCTCCTTTTTAACATTGCTTATTTTAGGGTACCTTGCCTTCTGAAGCCCAAGAGAACACCTTATATCTTACAGCTTTTTCTGTGATTGGAATTAGAAAGGCTTTTGATATATGCCCCATCATGGTAAGTAAGAATTTCCTTTTTCCAACCCCCATCACCTGTTTCTGTACCATACACTGGAAGGGGCCACCTTGAATATAACTTTAACTCCAGAATCAAAGGATTTCAGAATTATGGCAAATATTAAACACCAGCTAGTCCAACCTACTTGTTGACAGTTGAGAAAACTGAGGCCTTTAAGTCATGTGAATTTGTCACGGGCTAATAAGTTGTAGAACTGGGACTAGAACTGATAACTTCTGTCGATGGTGAGAGAATGACCCCATGTCCCCTGTCTTTTTCTCTTGTCTCTGTTAAATCTTATGATACACACTGAGGCACTTTATACCATGGATACATGATGGCATTTTTGCTTTTTTGGGTTGTGCTGTTTCATTTACTTGAAAGCTGAGGGGGGAGAAAGAAGAGGATTTACCTAAGTGAATCAATGTGGAAGATGCCATAGGGTAATAGAGATGATACCCTGATCTGGGAAGAGACAGATCATTGTGCTGAGGTTAAATACTCCTGCCTACAAACCAGAAGTAAATTAGACATGTCCTTCAAACCAGCACACAGAACAGAGATGCAAAAACTCAGGGGTACTTGAACCACAAAATGAAATAATGGTTTTCATTTCTTTCAAGAGAATTGTTATTTACACTTAAGAGGACAAAATAATCAACAAGGACCCATTCCCAAGGGTCTAGAGGACCATTTGGTACCTAGTAGTACATGAGTGAAACACGGACAGAGCTGGGAGAGGAGACAGGCAAGATATTTGTAGCATTGCACCAGGCTTTCTCCTAATCCATTTACCCAAAGTAACAGATTTAGTTGTCTCAGTACAAGGTAACAGACCATTTTCCCAGGAATTCTTAGAAGCAAAAAACATTTTGACAACTTGTCTGTTTTTCTCCTATTTATGATTTTATTTAGTTAAACTCCTTTTGAAAATGTGAAAAATATGAATCTATCCCAGCAATGCTGAGGGGCAATGAGGAAAGCTGTGTCTATGCTGGATGTTTGTTCTCAGAGGCCAGGTCCTACATGGGAAACGGAAACAAAGGGAAACACCTGTACGGGAGATGTAAGCATTCAGAGGCACAGAGCTCAACCCAATTTAGACAACCACATTTTTACTTCTGAAATTACGTTCTGTTCCTTCTCCAGGAAGGATTAGGTCATTTCTTTTTCCACCTTTCATCTTGCCTGCCCCAGGATGGTGCCACCTGGGGGTAGTTCACATCAGTTGATGGGTTGATGCTTGGCAAACTTAGGTATCTCTGCTCTTGTTTCCAGAAAATCAACACAGCTCTAACTAAAGCTGACACTTTTCTGCTTGAAAATACCCACTTGGACCAGAGCACCTTCACACTGGCCATTGCTGCTTATGCTCTTTCCCTGGGAGATAACACTCACCCACAGTTTCGTTCATTTGTCTCAGCCCTGAAGAAGAAAGCTTCGGTTAAAGGTATGACTTGTTCCATACATTTATGTGGCAAGTGCTTACTGAGCATATAGTCTGCTAATTCTGGGAAGGGACTGGTGGCAACAAAATTGAGTAGACACGACCCTGTCTCAAAAAACAAGCTGTCACAATACAATGTAGTAAGTAAAAAACCATCATGAATGCAATGTATTAAGTGCTGTTATTCAATTACTTTCTTATTTCAACAAATATATATTGAGTACCTGCTATATGGTAGACACTGTTTTGACCTCTGGGGATAAAGCAACAGACTAAAAGAAAAAAATCCAGACCCTCATAAAATTTACATTCTAGTTAGGGAGAAAGACACACATGATAAATAAGTATAGTATTGCATCTAGTGAATAGATTGGTGATGACCAATGTGTAGAAAAATAAGGCAGGGAAGGAAGACAGGAAGGGTGGTAGACTGTAATTTTAGATTGGTGGTCAGGCTTCCTCACTGAGAGGAAAGTATTTGCATCAAGACTTGAAAGGCGATGAGGAAGCAAGCTGGTGGCCATCTGGAAGAGTATTCCTGGTGGAGAAACAGGCATGTGCAAATGCCTGATGCAGGAGCATGCCTGGTGCTCTGAGAATGGTAAGGAGACCAGGGTGGCTGAAGAGGAGTGAGATGATGGGTAGGAGCTGAGGGCAGGGAAAGAAAGAGTGAAGGATGAAGGAGGCCACGTAGGGCCTGGAGATCATGACAGGAATGTGACAGGACTCCTGCACACAGTTGTGCCATGTACAAGACTCCCAGGTAAGCCAGTGAATTGAACCTGAAATCCAGCCTGTGCTCCCCTTGCCCAGCCATGCACCCTAGTTTGGGTGTGCCTCCACCAGAGCAAGGGGTACCTGTGTCTTACTCCCATCAAGATGCCATGGGAGCCAGTGGAAACCCTAGACCTTTAACTTCCACTTCAAGTGGGAAGGGAAGGCATTTGAGGATTTTGAGCAGAGGTGTACTAATTACCAGTTTATTGCTCTTTCCACTCTCTTTATGCTGTACCAGGCTGGCTATGGATGTATTTCATTTTGAAGAATAAAGATACTGCTTCCTTTAGGTCAAGAAGAAAGAAAAGAGAAAAAGAGTAGCAGGGGTTACAGGCCAGTGTGCCTATACCAGCACAGGCACGGTCAGGCACTCAGAGCCCTCTCTACGCTGAGGTTCTAAAGGTTTAATAAATCTTACATGAGTTTTATCACTGTCTACAAAATTTGACATCTGTCATCATTTAAAATGACTGAATCTTAACATACTTGTATGAATCAAAACTACTTGTATAATACTTTTAAAATAACACAAAAAGAAATGTCTTGGATTTGTAAGATACAGATCATAAAATCATAGAGGTTAAGAGCTAGAAGACAATTTAATAATTCAAATAATATAAAGATTCTGGAAGTAGCTTTAAAAACTAAACTTTTCATTCTTAATACAGCAAATCTGAGTCTCTGAGAGGGTGGGAAAACATTTTGTCCAAAGTCATGCAAATCATGTAATTATGAATTGTAAACAGGCACATCAAAATTTTGACCAATCATCAAAAATGATTTCCAAATATGCCTTACGGTCTTTTAAAAAATAATTTGTCCCCCCAAAAAGGATTCAAGGTGGCAGGTTTAAATGACTAGGGCAATAACAAACAAGTATAATTTAGAAACTAATTTATCAAAAGTGCTGCAAATATAAGATTGTCTTTAGTACTTTGAATTGGGACAAGATAATAAAAGACTGAACAAGGCTTTGGGTGTGATCTCATAATTTCTGTGATGTAGATTATTTTTTTCTGTTAGGGAAAAAAGTTCCTCAATTTATTGTGTAGTGTCAATCATAATAATAATCCTCTGTATGTGTATGGTGTTTTCTGGTCTATAAAAACATTTGCATTTGGTATCTCACTTGAATTTCACTGCAACAAAGAAAGTACTACCTACACTTCAGGTATTAGGAAATGAGTACCACAGAACTAAAAGAACTTGTCCAAGTCTTCATGGGAAGTTAGTAGAGACTAAAACCTGGTTGCACTATTTACCATTTATTGCACTTTCCACACTATTATTCTATCTCACTAGTATATGTGGACTTTTCCATGCTGACCATTTTAAATAAAGACAAATAGCTGTATGAATCACTGTATAATGTCCTTAAATTTAGACAAATAGCACTGTATTGTTTTATGTTGGTCACTTTGAGGAAGTTCTTCTTATAAAAGAGTAAGAAACTTCTAGAAACTAGAGGGCCACTAACAGAAGAAATTTCTAGAAATCTGCTCGAATGGTTATGTCAAATTCAAATTTAATCATAAGAATGAATGTGATTTGTTGATATTCAGGTAATCCACCCATATATCGTTTTTGGAAAGATGATCCTCAGCAGAAAGACAGCTCTGCCCCTAATGCTGGTACTGCACAGATGGTAGAAACCACTGCCTATGCTTTACTCACCTGTCTGAGCTTAAAAGAGATGAATTATGTTAACCCAATCATCAAATGGCTATCTGAAGAGCAGAGGTATGGAGGTGGCTTTTATTCAACCCAGGTAACATTTCTTTGTCTTGTTTGATCCCCTGGAGACATTTTTACTGCCTCCCATACCTCTCATTCCATACTCATTCTGGCCTCCATGCTTTTTTTTTGTCCAACAAAGGAACATCCCATATCATAGATATGAATAAGTGATTAGAATCGAAAGACCCTTAGAAATTACCTGCATTGACACTCTTCTTCTATGGAGAAAGTCAGCCCCAGGAGGTTCATTCAGAGAATTAGTGGCAGACCCAAAATCAAAACTCACATTTCCTGACTGTGGGTCTCATGTGAAGGGCTTGTAAGGCTATCAGTAATTCTGCCACATCCTATATAATAAACAGTGGTTTCCGTGTAGACAAAAGCACTGATGTTCCTTCTCCCCAAAATAAGATAAAAGTGATAGAAATACTGATTGTTATATGTTTGTCTATCTACCTACATAAACTCATTCAAGTTTAGGTATTTTAAGCTATAAATAACTGTTATGTAATTGTATAATGTACATCTATATTCAAAATTTAGGTCAGGTGTTAGCATATTTTCTGTTCCTCGGATGTTTGGACAATGATGGAGTGTGTGTACATGTTTATAAGATTTAGAGCTGGAGGGGTCCTTCAGGATTACTTTACTAATCATCTAATCTAGGGAGGCAAACAGGTTTCATTTTGGGGGGAACATTGGGCTTAGCAGGAAACTGCCCCTTGATTAGCATTGGCTGCTATGGACAAGGACAGAGGGGGAAGCCAGGTATTTTGATATCTCTGATATAGTCACATTTCCTGATTTTATCAATGAGAAAGATGAAGCCCCCAAAATCAAGTTCCTCCACTGGTTCCTTCAACAAATACTTGTTTAATAGCTACATGTATGTACCTACTAAATGTAATGGATGTCAACAAAGATATCCTACTTTCCCCCCATGAATCTTACATTACAATGGGGGAAGCCAACAATAAATTATGCATAAAAGTATTATAAATGGAGATGAATTCTATGAAGGGCAGAGGGGAACAGTAAAACAGAATAATGGGAAGGGGGAGCGTATTTGCAGCCTCACTTGGAGATAATTAAGCTGAGTCCTAAGGATGTGAAGGAAACAGTCAAGCAAGGAGTTGGAGGTATTCTCCAAAGAGTGACTTGCCTGAGGTTACACGTAAGGGATATGCAGAGAACCCGGACCTGAGGCCGCACTTCCTTCCTGACACAGATAACAGCAGCATCGGTACTGGGAAGGAAAAGACCATCCTTCCACTTCCACATGGGGGCCCTTGACCAGTTTCACTGGATCAGCTGGAGTTTTATCTCCAGGCAATGCTGTCCCACCCTCTCATAAGAAAGGGCATTTGTAAACGCAGAGAGTATGTAAATGAGCTAAACTGACTTTTGTGCCTTGTCGATTGTTGATAGGATACAATTAATGCCATTGAGGGCCTGACAGAATATTCACTCCTGGTTCAAAAACTCCACTTGAATATGGATATCAGTATTTCTTACAAGCATAAAGGTGACTTCTACAATTACAAGATAACAGAGAAGAATTTCCTTGGGAGGCCAGTAGAGGTAAATGAAGGACTTTTTAAACTATTTTATAATTGTTCCACCCTTATTTTATGAATGTATGTATTCACTACTTCAGCTTATATTGAATACACCTTATGTCCTAAGCAGGGATGCCTACTATATCCTGGACATAGGGGACTCAAACAAGCACAAAAAACCTGTGTGCTGGGGGGAAATAGTCATTTAAGCAGACAGTGAAAAAAAAAAAAGAACCTAATCAGTACATGGAAGGACAGAGAGGGGCCTCCTGACTCAAATGGAAAGACGAGAGGAGTTTGAGTCCAGATGGGGAGGTTAAATCTGGAAGATCGGAACAAGTTAGTCAGGTGAGGAAAAGGGAAGAACATTCCACAAGAGAACAGCAACACTCACAAAGGTAGAGGAAGTGGTAGAGGAAGAGAGAAGACACACTTAGGAGTCTGCCAGTGGTTCCACTGTCCCAGTCACACATGCAGACTGTGGCCAAATTGGAAAACTGACCTTTAGATCCCCCCCAGCAACTTCCCTTGTCCTTCGCTACTACTGGATTTTTAAAAATGAAAACCTTGATGGCCTATGAGAATTTCCCAAAGAAAAGGACACACTGGGAAAACCAGTTTCTGTATCAGTAATAGTAGGTGCTAGTATACAGCTGCTAATATGTATTTTTCTAATTACCACATTTTAGGGTATTTTAAGGCATATTAAAATCTATAAGTAAGTATATACAAATAATAAAATATACAAATAACAGTAAGAAATAGTTCTTACTGTCCATATCCTCCACAAATCTGTGTGTGTGAAAAGTAAAAAGACATGAGAAATAAAATTTAATGCAATGTTGCAAACTATTGACCCTTAGTAAAAACATATATAGATAGATATGGATATATATATATATAGGCATAGATATATTTCACCATTTTAAAATCCATGGATTTCCAATAAGAATCTGATTTCCAAGTCTTTTGAAAAACCCTAAGCTCTGGCAACAGGGTACTGTCAACAGCAGGCTGCCTTCTTCAGTTTGCCCTGTCCCCAGAAGTCACATGATATACGTATATGCACCTTCATCCATACTTGGTCTGTGCATGAGTTTTTGCAGGCATTTGTGCTTATGGCCCCAGCTCAGTAATGTGACTTTGTTCTCTGGGAGCATTTAGAGTTTGCCAGATATTCACATACTGAGCCAATAATGAGAAACTCTTGGCCTGAAGAGCCTGGTAGGGCCATGCTGGGGAGAGCTGGAGTTATTTCTATCCTACAGGGATAATGCTGCAAGGGACCTCTTGTCATTTTTTAATTACTTAAACCTCAGCCCATGATACTGCCTTCCTGTGAAACCTAAGCTATTATTATCTAGCTTGGAATTCTCTATTCTAGCATTTCCTAAAATGTGTTCAATGAAAAAATGTTTGGTGGTCAAGTAAGTGTGGGAAACTCAAGTTTAAATGAACTTAAACAAGTTATTTCATACCCTGTCTTTAATATGTATGTGACCAAATGTGGTGATGCTGGGGAAGAATGGCGATGGAGGAGGTGACAGTGGCAGTAACAGGGAACAGTGTACATTTCCCAACTGTATCTTCCAACTTATGTCCATAGTACTATTCCTTATGCAATAGCATGATGCAGTGGCTCTCCTGTAAATGCTGCTATACTCCATCAGGAGAACAAGAAAATTGGCCCATTTACCTACATTTACTGAAATTAGGAGGAAGGGCTGACAGCCTTTCATGCATACCAAATTCCTTTCGTACTAGTGCGCTAAGGAAAGGGAAAGGCAGACTGCAGCCTTGGAGTGAGCAAAGACCTGACTCCTCAGGCCTCTTGCTCAAAATAGTCTTTCCCATGCTTTCCACAAAGCAGGGAGCATATTTATGATAGAGTTTCCCTGAAAGGGAGAATTATGTAACTCAGTAGTTTCAACCTAAAGTTTTTGCTCTCCTCCTTGCAAAATGGGAAGAAAAGCGGCAGCATCTAGAATGGGGTGCTAGGGGTTTTAGGTGGCGTGCCAGGGGTTTCAAGAAATAAACAAGTAGAAAGTAAAAAAGACAAATATGAGGTGAGAGAGGTGTGCAAAAGGGGAAGGTGGGAGGGGCAAACATAAATGGCATCCCCTTCAGAGTTATGTTGAGGTTCCCTATTCTTGGTGCTAATGAAAACAATCTCCTTTGGCACATAGGATGGTAATACCCAAGCTAGGCACTGAAAGGAATTAATTCAGTTAAAGGAGATGGCAATCCAGTTGTCACCATAACCATATATAAATGAAAATGTAACCAAAAGAGACTGCTAAAATGTTGGTTTTGCTCATTTACTCAGGAGATCTCAGACATCTTGTTTACATGTAGAAGGGAAGGGGAATTTCCAGCATTTTAAAAGTGGCTCTATGCTGAAAAGATACTCCACATCACTAATCATCAGGGAGATGCAAATGAAAACCACAATGAGATATCACCTCACACCAGTTAGGATGGCCACCATCCAAAAGACAAGAAACAACAAATGCTGGCGAGGATGCAGAAAAAGGGGAACCCTCCTATATCATTGGTGGGAATGTAAATTGGTTCAACCATTGTGGAAAGCAATATGGAGGTTCCTCAAAAAACTGCAAATAGAAATGCTGTTTGACCCAGTAATTCCACTCCTAGGAATTTACCCAAGGAAAACAAGATCCCTGATTCAAAAAGCCATTTGCACCCCTATATTTATTGCTGCACTATTTACAATAGCCAAGATATGGAGGCAACTTAAGTGTTCCATCAATAGATGAATGGATAAAGATGTGGTACATATACACAATGAATATTATTCAACCATAAAAGAAAAAGAAATCCTGAGATTTGCAACAACATGGATGGATCTAGAAGGTATTAGGCTCAATGAAATAAGCAAAGCAGAGAAAGACAGACATCAAATGATTTCACTCATTTATAGAGTATAAAAACAAAGCAAAACAGAAGGAACAAAATAGCAGCAGACTCACAGACACCACGAAGGGACTACTGGTTACCAAAGGGGAGGGTTTTGGGTGGGCGGATGGGGAGGGAGAAGGGGATTAAGTGGCACTACAATTTGCAATCACAATATAGGTGATGGGTAGTGCAGGGACGGTAATGCAGCACAGAGAATACAACTAATAACTCTGTAACATCTCACTATGTTGATAAACAGTGAGTGCAGTGGAGAGGGTGAGGACTTGATAATGTGGGTGAATGTTGAACCACTGTGTTGTGTATGTGAAACCATCACATATCAGTGATTCTTTAATAAAAAATAATAAACACATTTTAAAAATAAATAAATAAAAGTGGCTGTGTGCACAGGATCTTCAATGCCTTGTCCATTTAATCTCACAAAATCTCTGAGAAAGGAAGCTGGCAGGTGTCAGCTCACTCTTTTTATTGCTTTCTCCTCCCTCCCTATTAAATGATGAAAGAAAGCATGGTTTCTCATTCGTCTTTCCAGGTGCCCCTCAATGATGACCTCGTTGTCAGTACTGGATATAGCAATGGCTTGGCTACGGTGCATGTAAGTATTTCACTGAGAGCTTATTTAATTCAGAGTCACATGTCTGCTTGTATTAAGTAACATAAGAGAAAGTTAGGGACTTTGCCACAAAGTTACAGAAACCTAAGCTTGGGTTACCATGACTAAAGTAGCGTTCATTTATCTAATTCTTTCTAGCTATCTGGTATCTATCCTCATGATTTCTTTTCAAAAACAGTTATATCATTTATCAAACATTTAGTGAAGGCCTAATACCCATTCTCCTTAAAGTTTTCCAAAAAGTAGAAGTGGGGGGGAATACTCCCAAACTCATTCTACAAGGCCAGCATCACTCTTATACCAAAACCAGGCAAAGACACCACAAAAAAAGAAAACTACAGACCAATATCCCTGATGAACATGGATGCAAAAATACTCAACAAAATATTAGCAAACCAATTTCAAAAATACTTCAAAAAGATCATCCATCATGATCAAGTAATATTTACTCCAGGGATGCAAGGATGGTACAACATTCAAAAATCCATCAACATCATCCACCACATTAACAAAAATGCATCATCTCCATAGATGCTGAAAAAGCATACAAGTATTTGACAAAATTCAACATCAATTCATGATAAAAACTCTCAACAAAATGGTTATAGAGGGCAAGTACCTCAATGTAATAAAGGCCATATATGATAAACCCACAGCCAACATCATACTGAATAGCAAGAAGCAGAAAGCCTTTCCTTTAATATTGGGAACAAGACAAGGATGCTCACTCTCCCCACTTTTATTCAACATAGCTCTGTAGGTCCTAGCCATGGCAATCAGACAACACAAAGAAATAAAAGGCATCCAGACAGGCAACAAAGAAGTCAAACTGTCACTGTTTGCAGATGACATGATATTGTACATAAAAAACCCTAAATAATCCACTCCAAAACTACTATATCTAATATCTGAATTCAGCAAAGTTGCAGGATACAAAATTAAATCTGTTGCTTTCCTATACACTAACGATGAACTAGCAGAAAGAGAAATCAGGAAAACAATTCCATTCACAATTGCATCAATAAGAATAAAATATCTAGGAATTAACGTAACCAAGGAAGTGAAAGACCTATACCCTGAAAACTACAAGACACTCATGAGAGAAATTAAAGAAGATACCAATAAATGGAAACTCATCCCGTGCTCATGGATAAGAAGAATTAATATTGTCAAAATGGCCATCCTGCCTAAAGCAATCTACAGATTCAATGCAATCCCTATCAAAATACCAACAGCATTCTTCAATGAACTAGAGAAAATAGTTCTAAAATTCATATGGAACCACAGGCTCTGAATAGCCAAAGCAATCCTGAGAAGGAAGAATAAAGCTGGAGGGATTATACTCCCTGACTTCAAGCTCTACTACAAAGCCACAGTGATCAAAACAATTTGGTACGGGCACAAGAACAGATCCATAGACCAATGGAACAGACTGGAGAGCCCAGATATAAACCCAAGCATATATGGTCAATTAATATACAACAAAGGAGCCATGGATATACAATGGGGAAATGACAGCCTCTTTAACAGCTGGTGTTGGCAAAACTGGACAGCTACATGCAAAAGAATGAAACTGGATTATTGTCTAACCCCATACACAAAAGTAAACTCAAAATGTATCAAAGACCTGGATATAAGTCATGAAACCATAAAACTCTAGAAGAAAACATAGGCAAAAATCTCTTGAATATAAACATGACCAACTTTTTCCTGAATGCATCTCCTCAGGCAAGGGAAACAAAATAAAAAATGAACAAATGGGACTACATCATCCTAAAAAGCTTCAGTACAGCAAAGAACACCATCAGCAGAACAAAAAGGCATCCTACACTATAGAGAATATATTTGTAAATGACATATCCAAAAAGGAATTAACATCCAAAATATATAACGAACTCACATGCCTCAACACCCAAAAAGCAAATAACCCAATTAAAAAATGGGTGAAGGATATGAACAGACACTTCTCCAAAGAAGAAATTCAGATGGCCAACAAGCACATGAAAAAATGGACCACATTGCTAATTATCAGGGAAATGCAAATTAAAACCACAATGAGATATCACCTCACACCAGTTGGATGGCCATCATAGAAATGACTAGGAACAACAAATGCTGGCAAGGATGCGGACAAAGAGGGACCCTCCTGCACTGCTGGTGGGAATGTAAACTAGTTCAACCATTGTGGAAAGCAGTATGGAAATTCTTCCAAAAACTAAAAATAGAAATACCATTTAACCCAGGAATTCCACTTCTAGGAATTTACCCTAAGAATGCAGGATCCTAGTTTGAAAAAGACATATGCACCCCTGTGTCTATTGCATATGATACTATTTACAGTAGCCAAGAAATGGAAGCAACCTAAGTGTCCATCAGTAGATGAATGGATAAAGAAGATGTGGTACATATACACAATGGAATATTATTCAGCCATAAGAAGAAAACAAATCCTACCTTTGACAACAACATGGATGGAGCTAGAGGGTATTATGCTCAGTGAAATAAGCCAGGCGGAGAAAGACAAGTACCAAATGATTTCACTCATCTGTGGAGTATAAGAACAAAGCAACCACTGAAGGAACAAAACAGCAGCAGACTCACAGAACCTAAGAATGGACTAACAGTTGCCAAAAGGAAAGGGACCAGGGAGGGGTGGGTGGGAAAGGAGGGAGAAAGGGAATAAGGGGCATTACGATTAGCACACATAATGTAGGGGTGAGCACGGGGAAGGCAGTATAGCACAGAGAAGACAAGTAGTGACTCTATAGCATCTAACTATGCTAATGGACAGTGACTGTAATGGGGTATGTGGTGGGGACTTGATAATCGGGGGAATTTAGTAACTACAGTGTTGCTCATGTGATTGTGTATTAATGATACCAAAAAAAATAGTTACATTAATCCTCGTATACATGTAGTCTGTATATTTTTGGAATGTGTGTGTGTGTATATATATATATATTTTTTTCTGCAGTTAGTAACATAGTCACGATGCATTTATCCAGTGTCATTGCAGATTGATGCATATATGTAAGGGCTGAAGTTTCTTTTATTTTAGTCATAGGCCACATGTACATACATAAACAGCTTAGAATAACTTACAACTGCCAAATATCTAAAAAAAATATAAACTATGTATTCTGAGCATAAATTAATATGCTATTAATGGTTTTAATTGTATTCTTACCTTTAGTGTATTTACCCCTTCAAAGATTGTTTATAAGATTTCATGGTAGCAAGGAAATAGATTGTCTACTTTTCTGTAACATCTAGTTGCTCTCAATATACCTACTTCTGGCAACACTCTTGCCCAACCTCGCACACCTGTAATTTGTTGTTCACTACTGTGGTGTGTGGGCTGAGAGAAAACCACAGTTCTTGGCTTCGTAGTGTTACATGGAAAATTTGAGTGTGCAGGCACAAGGATAAGAGTCTCAGGAACTTTCCTGTAGAGTGAGGTGTTCAGATTTGACTGTGTGGGATTTAGACCAAGATTCTGCCTGACCAGAGGTTGATTTTTGCTTACTTTGAGCTTCTCAGCTATGTTTCAAATTACAGAGTTTGATGAAAGTCCAGCTTCTGGGAAAATGGGTCTTTATACCATTTGCACTGGATTGTGAAAATGATATTTCAATATTCCATAAATGACAGCAGTATTACCATAATACCTTTTCCACTTTCCCATTTAAGATAGAATCTTCTTAAGTTTACTTGTCTCAATGTAGGTGGCAACCGTAGTTCACAAAACCAGTACCTCTGAGGAAGTTTGCAACTTTAATTTAAAAATCGAAAGCCAGGACATTGAAGGTAAAGCATAATTTATACTGTATTGTTATACTTCCTGTAATGTTGGCTAAACAAAGAGAATATCAGACAGCCTCCCTAATTAAGAAGTATGTGCTTGCTCAAAAAACAAAATTTCTTAATCAAATTCTTTAGCACATTGACATCCAAATAAACATTACTGTCATTTATTATAATAGAGGTAACTCTTGGGCAATAACAGTGAACTGGTGTTAAATAACAGTAACTAAGCTAAATGTATGTACTATTGATCAAGAAATTGTTTTGACTAACTACATTACTTTTTAAGAATGTAACTAGTTTTAAAGCCACAGAAAGATCTAATTTCAGAATTTGTTACTTTCATGTCAATGTGACATTCTACCACCTTGAATTTGTCTTCTCACCCTGTTGAATTTCCATCCTTTACTCTTTCTGTACTCCAAGGATTCAGGCAAATACACATTTCTCTGCTTCCATCTTCAACTTGATCTCTCTAGTACTTATGATTTTTTATCAGGGTGCCTTTTTTTTTCTCCACCTGCATCCTTCACAACCCTCTTCTGGTGGATTGTTCTCACCCCCCTCCCCCAGTCTAAAAGCTAGTCCTCTAGCACACCCCAGTCCTTCTCTAACCATGGCCTCAGAGGCAGGGTGTGTGCTGCTCCTCGGCCCTGATAGCTTCCATTTATGGCTCAGAAGCCTGTTTCTACAGGGAATGTTCCAACTGCCAGCGAATCCATCATCAGTTCTTCCTCTCTGCAACCTCCTCCAAACACATTACCAATACATACTTACCTTAAATGACTCCTTCCTTAAATTAAAAGTTCTTGAAAGCAGAGAACTGTCCTAATTATTTAAAGACTTCCTGGTACTGTCAGTAGTCATGAATTTCCATTAAGAACCCTGAAATTGCAACTTCCAAATCACAAATCACTAAGTGTGTTCAGAGCCTGTTCAATAATACACTGTTGTGTGTTGATGGACAGTGACTGTGAACGGGGATGTGGGGGGGACTTGGTGAAGGGGGGAGCCTAGTAAACATAATGTCCTTCATGTAATTGTAGATTAATGATACCAAAATAAAATTTAAAAAAATAATAATACACTGTTGTGATCTGATTTACTCTCATTTTTCTTTATTTGTTTGTGTGTTTCTTTGTTGTGTGTGCCAGCACCCAGCTACAGAGGCTACAGTGACTCCGAATACAAGCGCATAGTAGCATGTGCCAGGTGAGCGCGTTTCCGCTAAGGGAAGTGTAGACTTCAAGGCCTCACTTTTGCCTTGGCATTATTACTTTACAACTTTGTGAATTTTAAGATGGCCAGAAGATGTAAAAGTGTTCATTTTTTTTTAATGCAGAACACAACAGGTATTCTTAAATAGCTGCTTACTATACAGAACAACTTTGCTTTTGCTCATACATAATTTTCCTTCCCATTTTTGGCCTTCTTCTAATTCAAACACTATGATATTAATTTTTTGTGTCTTTCAGAAAGGTAGAGATATGATAAAGTATTAGGAAAAGAAAAAACAAAAGATTCTGTCCTAAGCAGCTCCTACTCACTTAGAAAAATCACATTCACGCAGCAAAATCCCTGGCCATTACTAGCAAATGGTTCTCAATTCAGGTTGCACATTGAAGTCAGCTCAATAGCTTTCAAAACTTTCCAAAAATTCGACCTCATCTGGCATTCTGATGATAGCCAGGACTGAGAACCACTTATGCCCAGCCATCTGCAGACTAACTCAGAGGCCTGAATTGGCCACTGTAATAGTTTCCTATTGCTGCTGCGTAACAATTTAGTGCAACTTTAATGCCTTAAAAGAAAAAAATTTATTCTCTTGCAATTCCTGAAGTCAGAAGTCCTAAAATCGATGTGTTGTCAGTTCTGCATTTCCTCTGAGGCTCTTGGAGCGTATCCATTTCCTTACTTTTCCCAGATTCTATAGGCCACCTGCATTCCTTGGCCTGTGGCCTCTGCTTCCATCTTCAAAGCTACAGTGCAGCATAACTGTACTCTTTCTTCTCTGACCCTGACCCCTGTTTCCATCCCCACATCTCCTCTGACTCTGCTGCTTCTTTGCCTTATAAAGACCTCTATGGTTAGACTGGGCCTGCCCGGATAACCCAGGATGACCTCCCTATGGCAAGATCCTTAATTTAATCACATCTGTGAGTCCTTTCTGTCACGTGAAGTAACATATTCACAGGTTCAGGGGATTAGGACATGGACACCTTCAGGGGCATTATTCTGGTTACCACAGCCACCCCGCTAAAATGTTTTTGAAAGTATGTGTATATACCCTAGCAATGACACCAAGGGAAGCAGCTAGTGCAGAGCCATAACTAGAACACAGGCTTCTTCCTTCTCTCCATCACCCCTCAGTACCTCCCTTTGTGCTCTGTTTCCTTAACTCTTCATTTTCTCAGTAACACAGGTTCCTATGGTTGGTATTTTGCTGGTTTTACTTATGATCACACATGATATCACAGCACTCAGTATAGATAACTTAGAAATTCTAAAGAGTTATGTATTAAATTAGAGCCGAAGGGACTTTAGGGCTGATAAAGTTATACCCTCATTTTAGAAATAAAGAAATTCAGGCACAAAGAGATGAAGTAAGCTCCCAAGTTCTCACAGAGTTAGAAGCAGAGCCTCAATTCCAGATCCTGACACCTAGTCCAATATGCAAACCACCTCTTTCAGTGGGTACAGTCTGAGACAACTGACCTTGAGGAACAGCACACTGTGTCTCACCACCTCCCTCTCAGCCATCCCATCCTTGCTCAAGGACCCCAGCCCAGTCACTCTCTTTGCTGGATTCCTTCACCAGCCCACTCTGGATAACTCCTTCCTTCTTTGGCCAGTCCCTGCCCTCTGTTGCTCCTCAAATACCCTTCCTCCTTCCCTAACTTCTTTCCACTAAGGTCACCCTTTCCCAGGCAGCTTCCTTCCTCCTAACTGCCAGTTGCACTCCTGTGAACCTTTTCTCTAGGGGAGGGGTGTGATCACAGTTGCTTTTAAATCCATAACACTTGTCACAAGAAGGTGTGAGCAAACTTGTTCTGGGCAGAGCCAGAATCAATGCCTGGGACCCTGCATGGGGATACCTAGAGTGGGACACCTGTGGGTGGCCACTGCCATAAAATGTTTTAAGTGACCGTTGGCAAACCAACTTACTTCTCTGGACCTCTCCTGTAAAGCAAGGATATTGGAAGATCTGATCTCAAATGTCTTCCAGTTCTAATGTTCCACAACTCTACTATACATAAAAACTCATTGATTTGAAGTCATTGACAGGAGACCTAATTCCAGATTGTTCATATACAAAAGAAAGCAAATAGAGATGTGAAATAGGGTATCCTTTGGCTTTTATAAATCAGGGACAGAATGTTCAAAAAATCCAGGTGGACTATGCTTTTGCTCTGTGATGCTGAAGTTAAGTTGGAAAAATTCCAAAAGTAACTATGCAGTGCTTATTCATGTAAATTCTTTGCCTTCAAATATTCTCTCTCCTGATTAAAAAAAATGCCAGCCTACAGTTTCTGTATTCAGTAGGTCTCTCATGTATTTAGCTTTTTACAACATCTCTGTTGTATTCATAAGAAAAGAAAAAAGGATTTCATTTCTCTCCCTCTTTTGGAACAAAATGCCTTTGGGGAAGATTGCTGTCTTTGGCAGCAGGCAAAAAGCTTCTTGAAAGGGAGGTTTCTGTTCCATGGCTGAAACAGTCACCATGGCAACCAGTCATCAAGACTCCAGCAACTTTTCACAGACACTGTCCACTCAGGAGGCCCTTTTCCATCCTGTTGACAGAGCATTTGCATCTGTGAGCAGAGTATTTGCTTCTGTGATACCCATCCAATTAGGGAGATGTCCCCAGGTCATATTACAGTTCCATGTTGTCTTATATTCTGTTGTTAATTTGGTGAAGAATGGAGTAAATTTTTATAAGCTAGAGATTTTATAATATTTAAATTATTATGGTAAAACATTGCATACAAACCTTCTAATAGGGTCTGCTTTATATGTGCTCTATAAGGTGTTATTATAGAAAAGAGATCCCTTGTCACCTCACATAATACCACCCATTTCACTAATACTCAATTCACTTTCCCTCTTATGAAGCTGTCTCTCCAGTCTCTTCCTTTAATCCTCTTCTCCCAAGCTCTGCTCTCAAATGTCCAGCTGCCTCCCAGATAGCTTGAGGTAAAACTGAAACCTGCAACTCAACCTTTGCAGAACCACACTCACCCTGCCCTGGTCCCCAATTCCTGACCCACCAACTTGCCCCTCTTTTAAATCTTCCAACTCTGCATAATGGGAGCACCAAGGCTCTGCCACTCAAAATGAAGCCTTAGAATTATAAAGATACATTTAAAATACAAGTTTATATCTCTTCACAGTTCTTACAAATATGAAAATGAGCTCCAGAGAGAATGATTTGTGGAATCTCTCAGCACCTTGGATAAAAAAACCCAAGTTTCCTGATTTCCCCCTTTCAATGTCCTTTTCTCTCTTACCAGAAAAGACCCCCCCAAACCAAAAAATGCTCCAAATCTCCCATGTTACCTCTTTTGCCTTTCTCCTTAGCTTGCCCACGTGCACAGTTCCTAGACAAAGGATAGTCTTTGAAACATTTTTTAAGCATGAAGTGTTTATTGTGGAAATTTTAGAAAATAGAGAAAAGCATGGAAAAGAGATAATCACTTATAATCTCACCATCCAGAGAAAGTAGCTGTTGACATTTTAGTGCATTTCCTTCCAGTCTTTTCTTAAACATGCTTATTGAGTCTCTTTCCAATATGTAGCTTATTTTCTTCTTTGAATATGCTCCATTAGAAAAAGAAACTAGAATGACAAGCAAGAGATCTATGAAGAGCTGGAGTGAACTAGTCATGTGACCCTGAGCAAGTGCTTACTCTCATCCTCAGTTTCCTCAACTAGTTAATTAAGAGCTTGGACTGAATGACTTCGATGATCTTTTCCAGCTCCAGAATGGTGGTCCATTAAGATTATTGGTCAAGTGAGTCAAGATTTAGAATAGAAGACTCAAAGGTCTCTTGTAACTCTAAAATTCACAGATTGCATTGCAATATATTGTAGAGAGAAAAATAAGTAGAGCTCCAAATTCCAAAATTAAAGCCTATTAAGGAATAGGGTCTTTTCTTAAGAATATCATCCATTTATTTATTCCATTTCCTAATCTCTAATTTATTTTAGCTACAAGCCCAGCAGAGAAGAATCGTCATCTGGGTCCTCCCACGCAGTGATGGATATCTCTTTGCCTACTGGAATCAATGCAAACTCAGAGGACTTAAGAGTTGTAAATATTATCTTTTAAATATTGTTATGGATGGATTATTTTACAGACAAGGGTATATCCTTTCATTCCTGTATGTCACTTTCATAGAATCTCCAAGAATATTCTTTCCAAACCGTCTACCTAATTTTTGATTTTTTTTAAGTGAAGTGGGGGCATATACCTGCATGGTATGAAAAATGATGCCATGTCCACTATTTCAAGAGGAGTAGCTGCTCTTCATCTTCTTTGAAAAGTAGATTACATCCCCGTGATTTGACATCCCATCACTGGTGAATGCATTTAAACAAAAAGATCATGAAACTAAATTCAAGCTTTTCTTTTTCTTCCCTGAGCTTGTGGAGGGGGTGGATCAACTATTAACTGATTACCAGATCAAAGATGGGCATGTTATTCTGCAGTTGGATTCAGTAAGTTCCACCTCCCACCATTGCTCATTTCAATTATTATTCAAAATTTAGAGCTAAAGTATTATGAGTTTTGTCTTCCATAATTTCCTTAAACCTTAAATTTGTCAAACAGATTCCTTCCAATGAGTTTGTGTGTGTTCGATTCCGGATATTTGAGCTCTTTCAAGTTGGATTTATGAGTCCTGCTACTTTCACAGTGTATGAATACCACAGACCAGGTAATCAACTCTACTCTACCCAAAAATTTCTCCAGAGAACTACTGTGTATTCATTGAAGAACCTTTAGAAATCCTCTAGAGACCTGTAAATTTTCTATATTGCCTCTCCTAGGACTCACTTCACAAAAGTCCTAACTTGGACATACAAACTACTTCATGACATCAGGCAAATCATTTCCCCTCTCTGACCCTCAGTTTCTTCATTTTCAAAATACTGGATTAGATTGCTCCCAAGTTTTAAATTATTTGCCTCTAATTTATCTTTGGTGTATGCTTTCAGTATTCATTTCATCTTCCCTTTTTAGAGAAGCCCACACCTTACTATTACTTTAATCTTTACAGAATCAACTTCTACGCCATCCATATCCTCTTCACATTTTGCAGAGAAGTTCTGTTATAGTTCACATCACATTGTCATTATTCATTTGCATGCCTTTCTCACCAACCCCAAACAGAATGTTTTCATCCTTGTACCCGTAGTATCTATCTAACAGTGTTGGGTACATAATGTGAAGTGATAAATGTTGAATGAAAGACTCCACATTTGATCACTTAGTCTCTTCTGAGAATATTAAGTGGTTGGAGAGCTCTTTGATTCACAAGACAGATGACTCCACTTTGGACAGTTCTACTTGTTTAAAAAATATCTTAAAGTGAGTCAAACTCTGACACTCATCCATTCTATCTTCTGAAACCACCTAGAATATACTTAGCTCTCTCCTCCCTTGAGATATATATATTTTATTAGTTTCTTTTCCAAAAGTTACAATTCTTTCAATAGACTCTTGTCTAACATAATTTATTTCCTCTTATTCATGGAAGCATCAAATATTTTCATCCTAAGAAATGAATATTGAATAGTAAAATTCCAAGCACAGAAGGGGAGATCATTTTGAGGGTAGAGCAGCCAGGACAGGCAAGTAATAATTTAACCTCCCTGGACCTTAGCTACAAAAAGAAGGGCTTGCAATAGGTGACCTCCAAGGCCCCATAGGACAGATTCACCCATCAGTAAATATGTTGTGCATTAATTACATCACCTTTCCTAACTATGCTTTCATTGCCACAGATAAACAGTGCACCATATTTTATAGTCCATCCCATACCAAACTTCAGCAAGTCTGTGAAGGAACAACATGCAAATGTGTAGAAGGTAAACTTCATTTAACATATTTAGCTGCCTGCTTGTTTAAAGCAGCCACTCATAATCTGGGGCTAATCTGGGGGAGACTGTTCAATAAACTGCCATTTCTGAAAAGTACAAATGTACAGCTACTTCTTGACAACTCCTGAACAACCTGATAGTTTCTACTGTACACAGGTGGAGAAACACCCTACAGAGAGTTGTTGATTATCAGAGGGATAACATGATACCAAATTCTTACTTTTCACTTGGTCTTTTTAATGTCATAGGAGTACAGCCTAGGAGAATGCAGGCTCAGAACAGAGCCACCAGCTCCTCTTCCTTTCCCTTGCGCCTGCTTCCCAGTTAGTGACATTCTCTGTTTATTGCCCAGTTTCATTCAGTCTTTTGTAAATCCAAGGCAGCCTTCTTCGCCAAGAAAAGAACTCAGAACTTACCAATAATCAACAACTGACTCCATAAGGCTTTAGGCTGGTTTGGGTTGCTTTTCAAAATTCTTAATATCTACACATTTCTTAGATACTTATTGTAGCATCTTACAGCTGTAAATCAGTCAAGTTATCATTTTAGTTCCCTCAAAGGACTTTTGATTATACTCAAAATGGGGAATTTTCTTCCTTTCTTCAATGGAAGCATATACATTTCTAAAGAGCTAAATATGGAATGATTATCCATTCTTAGAATAGGTCTCTTGTTCAAGATTTTATTTTTGTCTGTTTTGTCTTGTTTTTGTTTTATACAATCTCTTACTTTATGGAAGAGGAGAAAATAGAAAGGTTTTAGGAATCTGGTATTTGTAGGATTATATTGGATTGTCTCAGGGTTCATGAAAATGTGTTTACTCCCAAAGAGAGTGAATGTTGCCTTATATTAACCTAATTTTTACAATTTTTGAAAAATCCAGCTGACTGTGGACAAATGCAGACAGAACTGGATCTGACAATCTCTGCAGATACTAGAAAAGAAACAGCATGTAAACCAGAGATTGCATATGGTAAGTTCCAAAATTCAATAGATAGTTCCATTAAACAAGAAATTTTATGAATATTTGATCAGTTAGAATGCTTAACAACTTTACATCGTGATTATATGGATATAACATCCCGTGTGTTCCCTTGAAGGAAATGCCATCAATTTTCAGCATTAACATGCAATGTTATTTATCCTTCAGCAAGGAACTATGATTTTCATTAAAAATGATAGGAGTAAGGTGCACACCCAGCCAAGACCCTTTACTCTAATAGATCCCACTGAATTAAAGGTGCTAAAATGTATTCAAAAGGAACTTTTGAGAAGCCACAAAGGTATAAGATTTCACTTCTGGATTCTTCTAGTTTTGAATACATTAAACACCTGAAGGTAGTATTGACATAATAGCTAAAACATCATAGACAAATCACTAAAAAGTATATATGCTCACTTTCTAAATGTTTACTCTTATATAATATACATTTCTAAATGTATATAGGGAAAACGGTGGTTTTGGAGTTTGGGTTTTTTTTTAAAGCCTTCAAAGACAAGGTAAAAATATTAATACTAAATAATTTTTAATATATGCATAACTGCAATCTATGTTTGAGACTCTGCATTTCAAAAGGAGCATCTCCTGCTAGCTGTCCAGAGCCCAGAGCTAAATCAAAGGCCTAAGTGCAGTTGTAGTCTTGTCTCAAGGTCCTCATAGAATTAGCTCCTTAATTTTCTATCCATAGCTTCTAATTCTTATTTCTGGCTTTTTTTTAAGAGATAAAGAACATATTGTACCATATCTTAAATGTTTACTTGCAAATTGGTAGAGTATTATTTATAAATAAAAAATAAATACAGTGATTTAGCACTTTCTGCTTACCAACTGCTTCCATACATGGTTTTTCACTGAGGACCATAAAACTCCTTTAAGAGTCTTATCGCTATTTTACCAGTGAAAAAACTGAGCCTCAGGGAGATTAAATAATTTGCTCAAAGTCATGCCGGACTTAAACAGTAAAACTGGGATGCATCCTGGTCTCCAATATTATTTCCATTATATTTTGCTGAATTCTCTTAATGGAGATACAGCCATCAGAACAAATTTTGTATGGTTTATTAGTTTTTCCTTCCTTAAAATTCATCTTGATTTTTTTTTTTAAAGCTAGAAAGCTGCCTTCCTCAGCCAAGACCCACTGTGGTTTTTAAAATATATTGAGACCTGAAGATAATACTATATTGTTTTAACAAACAAAAATTTCACTAAATTATTTCTTCCCTCCATTTTATAATTACTTCACTCTTAAATATTAAAAGAATAGTTTAACACAGAGAATAGTTTATTTACATTCAAGAGAAAACTTAGTTGGCTTTTTTGGAGACCACGGGGTGATCCTGGAATAACAGAATAGAAATGAAATAAAATAGTTCCCTCTCTCTACCTGTGCCTTATACAGTAGGTATATGGCTCATATTCACCATATGAACTTATGAATCTGAATTTTAGGGCTTTCTAAAATCTATGTTAAGCCAGTAATTTACACAACGTTTGCTTCTGCCACAATGAGTTCATTCATTCATCTATATATCTAGCTGGCTAGGATCTCAAAAGTAGACAGACATTTTGGGTCATTCACTTCAACCCCATCAAAAGCAAAAATGAAAGGATCTCTTCTCAGTCATAAAGAAGGGATGGGTAAGCATCGCTGCCTGATTAAAAATAAAAAAGGACTGAGAACATCTCATGTCAGACATTGCCAATCCCAGCAAAGCTTAGTCAGAAAACAGAATCCTATCAAAAAACAAAGATCGAATCCAATGGAGGTACTCGAGTGGAGTCAAGGGAACAAGGAGGCTCGTAGGTGGGCCCGAGTGATAGATCAGGGCCCTCTGTGAGCGTGCAGAGAAGGAAGGGGCTACTCAGAGTGCTCCAGGGCCATGACTCCACTGATCTTAAGCATCAGAATCTGAACTTTGCATCTAACAAAGGCTTAGTATGTTTGTTTTCTGTGCTTGTCTTTCAGTTTAATATTGCTCTTATCCATATCAGACTGTTCTATAACAGTGCCCATGGCTAATGATTCTAAGTAGAATGAATTGTTAGTCATGATCTCTATAATTGGACTGACAGTACTTGGGAAGACTTCTTGGAAGAAATGAGATTTACCTCAGGATGCCCATAAGAGCTTGCCATGCTTTGTTTTTCATTTGTTTGACAAACTTTTACTAGATATGGCAATAGTGATATTAAGCATGAATTGTTGTGTATGTGTTTTTTTAACAGCTTATAAAGTTAATATCAAATCCATTGCTGAAGAAAATGTTTTTGTTAAATACACTGCAACTCTCCTGGATATCTACAAAGCTGGTGAGAATTCATTAATTAATTCTTTCATTCAACAACTAGTTAGTACTTATTATGTGCCAGGCATTATATTAGACACAGAGGATACAACTTGAATAAGATAGGCACAGTTCCTGCCTTCATAAAGTTTATATTCTATTTGAGGAGACACGTTTAAAAATAAAAAGGAAATGGACAGATAAATCAATTATAACCATAACAAGTATTATATTTGAAACAGACATGGAGTTAATGTGGAAACTCCTTCAGTGTGATAACAGATGGTGTATTTTAGGAGGTGGTGTTAGGAGTTAGCCATTCTTAAAGGACGGTGTAGAGGTGGAGGGAACCAAGTGTGCAAAGGCCCTGAGATAGCCAAGAACCTCTCAATCAAGGAACTGGAAGAACACCAGTGGGTGACTGGACTCTAGGGAGGAGGGAGAGCCAGTGTGTGATGAAGCAAGAGTAGAAACAGGGACACCAGTTAAGAGCATCTATGAAGTGCAAAGCCTTGGGTTAGATGCCATGTGAGGATAAATGAGAGTTTTGATAGCCAATGCAATAAAATGGATTTGTTTGTAAAATAACATATAAAACAGCAGTTTAAAATGTTCTCTTTTATTCTCTAGGTAAGCTATGCTACAAATATTATAAAATGGCTTTTCAAATGATACAGGTTATAACACAAATGATTCATTAAATCATACTAGTAATTACAAAGAAGTTTTTTATTTTTAGGAATTGTCAGTGTTATTTTGCATGACTCCCCTGTTTGAGCTTAGTTTGGTAACAAGGAACCACATCAAACCCTGTTGGAGCTTCAATTTGACAGCAAGGAACCACATCAAACTCTCCCAATTATATCTCTGTTGGATTGATAATCATTACATGATCTATAATCTCAATAAGTAGTTTCTCCTAATAGCAACACTATTGTTCATGGTATTGAACTCTCTCAGTTTCTGCCAACCTAGCAGTAATTACAGTCAAAACGCCTCTAGTCTTTATGACACTGTGTGACATTTTTATGTATTCAGTATGTCTCTATTACCAGCTAAATCATAAAAAAATTATTGAAATGTAATATTTAGTTTCCTGATTTTCTTAATTTTTATTTGCCTTCAGCCCTTAGAGCTTCACAAGTATCTGTGACAAAGTTTCCAGATACACAAATTTTTAAGAGTTTAAACACTCATTGTATTTTTTCACTTTTGTCACTTAAAACAAAAACATTTTCACATAATTAGCTTTTCTCTTAAATTGATATTTTGTTCTGTATCAAATGGCATATCATTCTTCATTTTGTAACAGCTCTTACTTTACTTTCATAGTTTCCTTTAGTTATTTCTATACAGTTTTGTCATTCATTTATTAATCTGGCAGTTTATTAAAGCTGAAGCATTTTTCCTAAACACCTAAAGGTAGTATTGACATAATTCCTAAAATATTATAGACAAATCACTAAAAAGTATATATGCTCACTTTCTAAATGTTTACTCCTATATTATATACATTTCTAAATGTATACTCCTATCAGGGACTCTATCAGGCTTGATTTGATTTCCCAACTGCTTTTTCTCTTTTAGGACAACCAGCTGCTTGTTAAAATACCAATCGTTTTCCAATTATCATTATTGCAATTTTTAAAGCTATTTATATTATTTAATTCTGTCCAGTGCATATTAGATATGTAGTAGTAAATACCAGATTAATGAAGGCAATATTTAAAGTAACTTTTGCTTGGCTTGAATCTTTGATTGTATTATCCAGAAACATTTGATAGGTATTCAGTCAGTACCTAATTGAAACAGCTGGAAATTACAGAATTTTTGCTGAAGCCCCAGACTGTCCCTGACATGGCATTTACACTAATAAGGCATTCATATAAGTATTTCTCATTGACACCTTTTTTTCTCACAGTTTGCTGTGCTGTTCAGTTGTTCCTTCCAGTACCTTGAGATCAACAAAATACATTTTTTCATCTTCAAAGTCTCCAATTTTTCATTTTAAGCTATTTAAAACACTTTTTATATTAAGTAGTTGATTTTCTCTGCAATGATTGAAATTTTATTACCTTAATTATATTTCCCAAAAAGCTGTGTTCTCATTTCAGTAGCTGTAAATTTTTCAATAAGTAGGATCAAAAACCTAAATTGCAACAATATGTTTATATCGATTTTTTTGTCTTTTGAAATTCTATCAAGTTTCAAGTCTGAATGCTTGATTAGTTCTAACAATACACTATAGAGTTAAAAATTCTAATTAATACTTTCCAAATTTTTATTTGCTTGATCAATATTCTGATAAAAATGTGTCTGGTCTGTATTATGCCAGATGTTTTGCTGTCTGAAATTCATTTGTGATGTTATTTTATTTTTTATCATTGCTGATTACAAATTTTCTTAATTTTAACCATGATTGTCATTCTGACAAAATAGGTTGGTCTTTCCACAACCCAACTTTGGAGCACCATTTTCATCTAGCATTCATATCATAAGCAATAATAAGCCTTTCCTATTTTTACTGAAATAATCAAGTGTTTTTCATTCCTGAAATACAGACTGTTCTATTTTGTACCAATTCTTGCCTAGTATCAAAAGACGTTCCGGACTCTGCTGAATCAGAATATCCCCAAGCTGCAGTTCTTAATAAATATAATTTCTTCTTTGTTCTCCTATTGGGTCAGAAGATTAATATTTATGATATTTAAAAGGAAATGTTGAGAAACTTTTGTGTTCTTTGTTATCTCTACATTGTGGGTGTTCATTTTTAATGTATACAGAAGTTGACTTTTTATAAGTATCAAAAAGCCACTTACACAACAATTGCTGTATATTAACAGTAAACCAGAGTAAAAATTAAACTATTTAGAATCAAGGGCAGCTATGTAGTTCAAGGATAATGCTAAATTGATATTTTCATAAACCACAGGGTACTTAGATCAGGTGAGGATATGAATGAAAAATATGATTAGTGATTGTTGAAGCTGAGGTTAATTAACTGTTCTCTCTTCTCAATATACTTGAAGTGTTTCATAACAAGAAGTTTTAAATATAATGATGAATGTGCCTCACAGCCACACTGCTGACCATGACAAGGGCTGAACTGGCAAATGGCGCTGGAAACAGTTTTAGGTAGTTCTACAACAGGAAGTCATGTCTACTGGTTGTGGGGAAAGCCCAGTTAAATTAGCTTAAACTAATGTGTGTACACTAGAATTTATATTACTAATTCAGTTTTACCATTTACACAGTTACTATTATATACCATTTACTAACAGGTTCTGAAATTTTTCAGGATTTAATAATTAGGATGACTCTGCCAGAGTTTAATAGCCAGATACCATTCATGAATATATAGCAATCAGACCAGTCTCTGCCTGAGTAAGTTTCCAGCCTAGCACAGTATAATAGAAATTCACTATACTGTGCTAGTAAGGGGAGAGAGATTTTTAGGATAAAGAGCATCAAGTAGTGCTAACTGGATACTCTGAGAATTGAAGATGTCTTTAAAGACGGGTAGAAATTCAACATGCCAACATGGGGAGGGAGGAACACATTCCAGGCAGGGAAGCCAGCTTCTTAGCTGCTTCTGAGTTCCTTGGGAATCTCAAAGTTCTCCTCCATAAAATTTGCCACGTCTTTCACGTGTCTTGTGCTTTTCTACAAAGTTGCCCATTGCCAGCTACCAAATGCTTTTTTATTTTGCCATGTAGCACATGAGATTAGTATTTTTTCAGCATAGAGAAGTTCTTTCAATTTCTGGTTCTATAAGAATAACATGTATTTATATATGCTTACTGGATTCTAAGCTCTTTCATATATTAATTCACAACTGTTCTACAGGGTAGGTTTTATCATCCCACCCATGTTTCAGATAAAGGGTCTGAGCCTTTACGTGGAGAGCATGAGTCATTTGTCCAGGACCACACAGGCAGGAAGTGGCCAAGCTGGGGTAGAACCCACATAACCAGACTCCTGAGTGAAGTCTTAACCATGTGGACATTGCTGCTCTCCAATAGCCATTAGCCTCTCAGTATAAATTTACTCTGGTCAATAAATAGCCATGAGGGACTGGAACACTTGAGAGAGGTTATAATCATGACATTGTCATGTAAATGTGATAAACCTTACTTGTGTGTCTCTCAGGTGAAGCTGCTGCAGAAAAAGACTCTGAAATAACCTTCATTAAAAAGACAACCTGTGCAAATGCTGACTTGAAAGAAGGAAGACAGTATTTAATTATGGGTAAAGAAGCCCTCCAGATAAAATACAAATTCAGTTTCAAGTAAGTCACCAGTATTTTGGAGTCCCCGATCTTCTCTCCAAAACTGAATGTAATTTACTCCTTAAATATACTGCATGTTTCTTATGTGTCCCCCTGTTAGCTAGCTAACGGTTGTTAGCTAGTTAGTATAAATGAGATAATGTGAGTTTAAAACAAAGAACTACTTAAAACCATCAGGGCAGCTGAGGATAAACCAGCTGAATGCCTGGGTCTAAAGATAAATCCAAGGGTGCTCACTCAACATCCTATACCACATCTGCTCCCTCAATAAGTTCTCAGACCATCCTTTTTGTAAAGAAGGAAATGTTTAAATACGCATTTTGTTATCTGTTTTTAAAAATTAGACATTGAAACAGATGTTTTCCTGCTTTTAACCGTGGTAGACCTAGGTAGCTTCACAATCATTGGGTCTGTGGACCTTCCCAGCGGGGAGGCCATTCCAGAAAAGTTTGTCCAACAGCCTGGCCCCTGGGGTCCTGAACAGCCTGGGCTCAGTCGAATTCTTCTCTTCTCTGTCTGTGGCCTTCATAACGAATGCTTTGTTTTCACATTTTCTTGGCAGGTACATCTACCCTTTAGATTCCTCTACCTGGATTGAATATTGGCCTACAGATGCAACATGTCCCTCATGCCCAGCATTTTTAGCTAATTTAGATGAGTTTGCTGAAGACATCTTTTTAAATGGTTGTGAAAATGCCTGAAGAAGTTCAGCTACGTAGTTCCACTACGGACTCCTATTGTTGAAGTGTCTTCCTTTTTTAATATATTAACATTCACAGCTGGTCTTATTTGGAAAGCTCACTGTACTTAGAATTAGTGGCGCTTGCTTTTATTAGAGAACAATTTTAAGAGCTGTAACATTCTGAAATAACATGGCCTTGGGGCGCATGGAGACGAATACTCATTCCAAGGTTATCGGACACCAGAGGCAATAAACTGGAACGTCTCCTAAAACCTACTACTCAGGAATGTTTGCTGGGGAAGAAAGAATAGCCCCATTGAAATGTAGTATCTTACAAAAACATGGCCTTTGCTTGAAAGAAAATACCAAGGAACAGAAAACTGATCATTAAAGTCTGGCTTTGCTTTCAAAATGTGCAAAAAAGCAAAATAGCATGTTATTTTGTGCCAGGTCAGCTTCAGCCACACCAAGACAGGCAAATGCAGAGGTGGAGAAAGGTGGGAGTAGAGACCTGAGAAAGCCTAACCTCAGAGACCTCAGCAAACTGAGAAGGTAGGAAAGTCTGTTCTTCCCCTCCCCACTTCTGTTGCCCTCTTCTTACCCCAGTGGGGATCCCTCTACTCCCTCTTCCCTCCCAGCACAGATTGATTTCCCCAGGAACTTGCTCTTGCCAATAATTGCTCTTCCCGAAGGCAGCCTGCAGTGCAGTAACCTGGGGAGAAAGTGCGCAGGTATCAGGTGACGTTTGTTCCAGCTCCAGCCAGGCCTCTGAGCCTGTTTGAGCTTTACAAAAGAGGATTTATAACAGGAGGTTCATGTCTGTGACTTTTTGCAGCACTTTTGATCTTACAAAAGAATTCTCGTAGATTCCCATTTAATGTCTCAAGAATCTCACTAGGTACAGGAATTATTATTATCCCCATTTTACAGGTAAGGACATTGAGGCTCAGAAAGGTGAAGCAGTTTTCCCAACCTAATAAGGCGCAGAGTCAGGGACCCAACCCCAAGGCTCTGTCAGTCCAGACACATCCCTCTTCTACATCATGACTTGATTGCATTGCTTCTCAGGTTTAATTTTCAAAGACCAAGGCAGGATGCAGTTGGGCTTTCTTAGATATAGTTTAACCAGCTCCACTGAAATATCAGAATGAAACATCAAGATAAACTCTAGTTGGAACAGTAACAGTGACTGAAATGCATTTCCTTCTTGAAAAACCTACATTTTACTAGCTAGGTGAGACTGCAGAGGCCTTGTAGTGGGCCTCATAAGTAATACTAAGATTTTCCACTTCCAGGAAGGAAGGAAGGATTTATTTTTGTTAATGTCAGAGCTCACATTGTAGGCACTCCCTTGGCAAAAACAACCAATGTATCCAATATTCCCAAACTCTGTGCCAGGTAAGGGTGAGGGGCCCCCTCCAGAGAGGGCCTGAAGTGTCTCATCACCTTGCTGAACACAGGGTGGAGGGGCCCCCTGCAATGTTTGGAGGCACCAGAGTCTCTGAGGTGTTGGGTCGTCTTCTCCCTGAGCACTTTAGCAAATAGGTTGGGTCACAGTGGCCTAATTAACCCACAATGCAGCTCAGCTTTCCAACATCAAAGCAAGCCTCTGCAAGTTAGCCTGGCACCCTTTAGCAATCTGCCAGCTCCTCTTCAGCTAACTCCTATGCATCTAAACATACTTGCTTAGTGAGGTTTTCTGGGCCCTCCAAACAGGCTGGGGTCCCTACTCAACCCTGCAATTCTCTTCCAAGGCACTTGCAATTATTTACTGAATCACGTGTAATTGTTTGTTTAGTGTATGCGGCTTCCTAGCTCCACTGTAAGCTCTGTGTGTCCTCACCATGATCTACTGTGCCTGGCACAATGCCAGACACATCAGTAGGTACTTGTGCATTCTCAGTGTGTAAGGACCATCAAGAAGACCCAAGTTCTAGTCTTGGCTTTGCCCCTGGCAGGATTTGGAACAAACCTCTTGCTCTCTTTGGTGGCCTATAAAACAAGGGAGTTGAACACTCTCTTTTATCGATACCCCTAAGATATTTTGTAATCTTACGTTGTAAAACAGATAACAAAACTGCATGGTGTATAAGTACCCAAATGTCAGTTTGTGTATTCCTTTCTGTAAATGTGAAGGAAGGTCAGAGAAGTGAGTGAAGGCATATGCTGGAAGAGCTTCCCGAGGCTTCCTGGAGAAGTTATCCCCATTTTACAGGTAAGGACATTGAGGCTCAGAAAGGTGAAGCAGTTTTCCCAACCTAATAAGGCGCAGAGTCAGGGACCCAACCCCAAGGCTCTGTCAGTCCAGACACATCCCTCTTCTACATCATGACTTGATTGCATTGCTTCTCAGGTTTAATTTTCAAAGACCAAGGCAGGATGCAGTTGGGCTTTCTTAGATATAGTTTAACCAGCTCCACTGAAATATCAGAATGAAACATCAAGATAAACTCTAGTTGGAACAGTAACAGTGACTGAAATGCATTTCCTTCTTGAAAAACCTACATTTTACTAGCTAGGTGAGACTGCAGAGGCCTTGTAGTGGGCCTCATAAGTAATACTAAGATTTTCCACTTCCAGGAAGGAAGGAAGGATTTATTTTTGTTAATGTCAGAGCTCACATTGTAGGCACTCCCTTGGCAAAAACAACCAATGTATCCAATATTCCCAAACTCTGTGCCAGGTAAGGGTGAGGGGCCCCCTCCAGAGAGGGCCTGAAGTGTCTCATCACCTTGCTGAACACAGGGTGGAGGGGCCCCCTGCAATGTTTGGAGGCACCAGAGTCTCTGAGGTGTTGGGTCGTCTTCTCCCTGAGCACTTTAGCAAATAGGTTGGGTCACAGTGGCCTAATTAACCCACAATGCAGCTCAGCTTTCCAACATCAAAGCAAGCCTCTGCAAGTTAGCCTGGCACCCTTTAGCAATCTGCCAGCTCCTCTTCAGCTAACTCCTATGCATCTAAACATACTTGCTTAGTGAGGTTTTCTGGGCCCTCCAAACAGGCTGGGGTCCCTACTCAACCCTGCAATTCTCTTCCAAGGCACTTGCAATTATTTACTGAATCACGTGTAATTGTTTGTTTAGTGTATGCGGCTTCCTAGCTCCACTGTAAGCTCTGTGTGTCCTCACCATGATCTACTGTGCCTGGCACAATGCCAGACACATCAGTAGGTACTTGTGCATTCTCAGTGTGTAAGGACCATCAAGAAGACCCAAGTTCTAGTCTTGGCTTTGCCCCTGGCAGGATTTGGAACAAACCTCTTGCTCTCTTTGGTGGCCTATAAAACAAGGGAGTTGAACACTCTCTTTTATCGATACCCCTAAGATATTTTGTAATCTTACGTTGTAAAACAGATAACAAAACTGCATGGTGTATAAGTACCCAAATGTCAGTTTGTGTATTCCTTTCTGTAAATGTGAAGGAAGGTCAGAGAAGTGAGTGAAGGCATATGCTGGAAGAGCTTCCCGAGGCTTCCTGGAGAAGGATGGGCAGGATTTGGGTAGGTAGAAAGGAGCAGAAGGGTCTCCCAAGTTGAAGGGGAAAGGCAGGTTTCCACTGGGGGTAAGCAAGATGAGTTAGTGCAGAGGAACACTCCTCATTTTAATAGTATATGTTTATTTTAACATGTATTAGAAAAAGGTAACTAGCACATCAAAGCCATGATATACAATTTTCTTTGAAAATAAGCATATTTGTCTGAAAGTAAGTCAATTTATGGAAAAGTCTGAAGTAAACAAAAGTATAGGTTGTTCTTAAGGCAAAAATCATGAGGTTGGCATGCACATGATTCAAGTTTAGGAAACTGTCTTAAAAAAATATGTGGAATTGATAATGAGCTGAGCCTAAGGCAGGCAGCCTTGCTCCATGTTTCTCAGTGAGGAATCCCAAGCCAGAAGTTGTGTTCAGTCTTACTTTCCAGCCCCCATGATGCTAATTTATTCAGCAACACCCAATAGATAAATATTGATTGGTAACTGTAGGCCAGGCCCAAGTCTAGGTGCTGGTCACCTAGATCCCTGCCTTTGTGGAATGAGATTCCAGCTGGGGGAGACATGCAATGAGCAATAAAGGCAATAAGTGGGGGATCAACCTTGAATGTTGGAAGGAGGTTAGAGCTGTGGGAAAAAAGAAAAGTAGACTAGGGCAGGGGAGGTAGGGAATGGTTGAGAGAGGGTTTGCTTTTCCCAATAGGCTTCAGTGAGAAGGTGAGAAGAGCAAAAACTTGGAGGTGGTGAAAGAGCCATGTGGCCATCTATGGTACTAGTGCTCCAGGCAGGGGAAGCACCTACTGTCCAAGGCTAAGGCAGGAGCATGCCTGGTGTCCTATTGAAAGAGCATGGACACTGTTGTAACAGACGTAGAGTGAGCAAAGGGGTCAGTATGTGGAGATGAAGCCAGAGAGGTCACAGGGATCAGATTATGCAGGTTGTGGAAGGGGTGTTGGCTTCAACTGGTGGGAAATGGATGCCACTGCCAGGTTTAGAAAAGAGCAGTAACATGGTCTGCCTTATCATTTAAAGGATTATTTTAACTGGTATGTTGGATATAAGGCAAGGGTACATATAGAGAGACAGGAAGCTGAGCCAGGCAAGAGATGATGATAACTGAACAAAGCTGAGTTTATTGATTCTGCAATGAAAGAGAACACACACATCAGAACTATGGAACTTCTCAGTAAAAGGATTTTAGTAGGGATTTATTATAGGATGCGGGCATGTGATGGATTATTTTAGGGGGGAGTTCAAAGAAGTGGGGTTTTGCTCTGGACTGGATGTTGTCAGGAAACAGGGGTAATACAAAGATTGCATGTCTAAATTCATATCTAATGGGAAGAAAAGTATCAGTCACTCAAATTAGCCAGGAAAGAGGGATGTTTGATCATTTTTGTGGTTTGGATCATGTTTTTGTTTTAGTCTCTGCTCAGACATGATTATGAAGAAGGCTTTTTTTTTTTTCCGGTCTTCATCCAGTTTATCTGATGTGGTGTTCTGTGACATCACAGAGAACACCACAGCCTGACTCTGAGTCCCAGGTCCAGATCCTGGGTTCACCAAGGCCCAGCTCCCAGTCTAGCCCAGCTATCAAAGGCTGTTCTTCTTTTTCACAGACCCCTTTTCCTAGAAGATGCACATACACACACCATGCACAAATTTGCATACTATTTCAGAGGTCCCCAGAGAAAGTTCATGCATGGACCTTATAAGTGGAGAGCTGGGACTTCAGCAGCCAAATCTGAGAGGTTCTCAGAGACAGGAAGCAATTCAGGATCCTGTTTCCATGGGTTGCCCCTTCTGAAAGCAGATTAATTCTACATGTTTAATGTGATGTGAGAAACATGTTGTTCCCGGAGTTAAATCTTTAACTTTGATTAGGAAAGTGTCCTTTATGCCTCTGAATCAGAAAGAAAGGAATAAGGTGATGAG